AATTCATGCTAAGCACATACCCTATGAAAATATATACAACTATACTACATATAAATATAAATATATATTTATGTAATAAATAACTAAGTGAAACTAATGAAAAAATGATTTTCACTGGGCCCATGCTGGAGATTGATTATATTTATTCTTTTTGTTTAGATATAGATATACGTATACCTGATATAGATATATCTATAATATAGAATTAGAGAAAACGGCTTAATATAAAGTCTATATGGATTGAGTGGCTGTTAGTATTCATTAAATTTCCATTCTTTGTTGGTCCAGTGAGTATTACAAAATAACTCATATTTACAATGGGTATATCATATCATAGATAACACTCTTATATTGATGCCAGCAGCCAGAAGTTATAGATTTTCAGAAGTAATCAAGTATTATATTTCTTAACTGCTCTAGGAATTCAAATTTTATGTCTTATATCTGTCTTAAAATTATTAACTTGATGAGCAGAAAGACTATCTACCTATCTTTCTGCTTTATACCTCTAGACTAACTAGGGGTTAACAAAAAATTAGCTGCTAGTGTTGCTGCTGTGTTTGGTGGTACTGCTGCTGGTGCTGCAGCTGCATTTCTCGGAAGCTGAGCGAATGGCGGGCGGGTGATGGAGATGCTCGATGCACGCACGACTGGGCTAGGCAAACGGCTGTAGTTTCAACTCATGAAAGATGGTCGGCGATATATCCGGCACCTGTTTGTCGTCGTGCAGCTGCAGAAGCTTAAATAGGCCCGTGCCAATGCCAGCGGGCATGCCCAAAATGATGCGCTCCGAGACGCCGTTGATGGCATCTGTCTGGCCATAGTAGGCCGCATCGAACAGATGATCCGCCGTCTTCTCGAACTGAATGGGAAAAGTAACCAATTAGATATAGATTAAGTGGAATTGAATTCCTCTCTCTTACCGATGCCAAATTGAAGACGCTCTCCCGCATCTTGGCCAGGCCGTGGCGCGTGATGCCCAGTACTTCGCCTCGTGCGGTCATCTGGCTGGCCAGGAGCATAATGTGACGCCAGTCGACGCTCATGCCGTGTCCCTCCATCACGTCCGTGATCTCGCTCATGATGATGGTGCGCGCCGCCTCAATGCCCAGCGTCTGATAGATTTCACAAATGTTGTTGCTGCGCGTACGCTCGCCCACCACGCCGTAGGTGGCGATCACTTCCCGCAGTCCGTAGCCCTCGATGCACAGCTTGTAGGTGGGCGGCTGCTTGGCATCGTCGACAGCGATGACGGCGCGTGCAATATTCGGCAGGCCCGCCACGACAACGTTCTGTATGGTGGTCGCTAGGCGGGCCAGCTCTGCATTGATCGTCGCATTGCGTGTCGCCTCCACACGAACAATAATCCTTGACTTCTTCGGTATCGCATGCAGCTGATTGGCCTTGATGCGCAGCCGGGATTTCAGTATGCTGCACATTATGCTATCCAAATCGATGTGAAGACCGAGCACCTTAATGCGCGCTGTATCGATGCCAATGACCAAATGGCAGCTGTGGGGTCCACAGACAAGCTCCACAAACGACGACAGCTCGCCCAGCGTTGTCTTCTCGATGCGCGCCTTCACCTGACGTGCGAACTCCATGCTGGTATTGTTGCGCAGCTCGGCTGTTATAATGGGCGTCGATATCGTCTTTGTGGCATTGATGATCTCCACAATACGCGGCACACCCTGTGTGATGTTCATCGAGGCGACGCCAGCGAAATGGAAGGTCTTCAGGGTCATCTGTGTGCCCGGCTCGCCAATGCTCTGGGCGGCAATGGCGCCAACCGCTGTGCCCGGCTCGGTCACCGCACGATTGTAGCGATCGTTAATGCGTCGCAGAAACTCGAGCAGCTGCTCCCGACTGATGCACTCGATCTGCTTGCACAGATCTTTATGCTCGGCACCGTATTTCTCCTGCAGCTTGCTAATGCGCTTCGTGACGGTATTCAGGTGGGAGCTGCAGAGGGCGAAAGTTATAAGTAATGTCAATCAAGATCAAGTGATCCACAACTTACGTCACATCCCGTTTAAAGTCAGCACGTGCTTCGGCAAATTCCGGAAGCTGCAACAGCGAATCCACCGTGCTGAGTATCTCGCCCGCTTCCAGCGGCTGCTGATCGCCGCATGGCAATTGGGCACGCAAATTGTCGTATTGGTGATTGAGATCGACGGGCTTGTTGCGTGTCTCCATGGCAACGGGATCGAGACCATCGCCGCCATAAATGGTGTCCACCATTTCGTTAACCGCATTGCGCACGGTGCCATCGTAGTGAACGACGAGATCCTCCAGACACTTGACCAGACGTCGCTGCAGATAGCCCGTCTCGGCGGTCTTCACGGCCGTATCGACGAGACCCTCACGGCCGGCCATGGTGTGGAAGAAGAACTCCGTGGGCGTCAAGCCCGAGTAGAAACTGTTCTGCACGAATCCACGTGCGGCTGGAATTGCGGCTGCAAGTAGAGAGAAACGAAATTAGTGACGTGCAGAAAGTAGCGAGTGATCCGTAACGAGTAATGGGGCTATGAGCGATTAGCAGGCAAATAACGAGTATTTCATGAGGTGCAAATAAAGAGTAAGATATTGATATCCCAACCAACTCGCAAGAAGCGAGTCAAGAGAAACGAGTAACGAATGAATTTAAATGAGTACTTAACGAGCTGTTAGGTATAAACAGTTGTACTACAGTAATCAGATCATACATCAAGTAACGAGTAAGATTTGACGAGTAACTTAAAGCAGATATTAAGTAGAGAGCAGGTTAGGCTAGTCTATGCCTTCGGATTTCCATAGTAACGAGTAGCACATGACGAGTCATAAGTAACGAGTAGCATATGCTGATGATGATGAGCAATAAGTAATGAGTAACATAAAGAAAAGAAACCTCAAAGAAAAGAAACCAGTAGCTACAATTAGTTAACAAGAAGGTTCTAGTCGAGACTGCTCGACTAGGAGATAGATACCCTAAACCCCCCAAGCTGACACTCTAATCATTCTGCATTTCTCTACGCACACATACATACACTTCCCTCCACACGCACGCAAAAGGAGGCGCTCTGCTAACTGCGCAGCGACTGCGCTTGGGCTGCGCTGCAGTGTGGGCATTATTATGAGCATTTACTAGTTGAATCATTTCTTTTGTAGTAGGTCTATCTTCAGGAAAATTTCGGAGCGTGATCATAATGTTCAAATGTCTGTATATTGGTATCCAAAATCTTTGTATATACACAGTAAATCTGAAGTCTCCAGGTCTAATAGTATTCAAAATAGGCTGAAAAAAACAAAATCAATTTATCGATTCTCCTCGATAAAAAGATATCGAATGAGTTATCGAAAAAATATAATAAACTTGTACTGCGTATGGTAGACTCAATTCTACGTGCTTTCAGCTCTTTAGCTCACATAACTTCTGAGATCTAGGAATTCATACAGACGGACGGACAGGCATCAAGAATATATATACTTTAAGGGATCTGCGATGATTCCCTCTGCCTGTTTCACAAAATCATTATAACTAACATAGAAATGAAAATTAACTGCATAATAATTCAAGCCAGATATTAGAATGAATGATACATCTAACGAGTATCTGAAATACTGACTCGTACTACTTACAGTGCCTGTCGAAGTGGGGCAGAGCGCGATTCTCAAAGCCATTGGGCACTCGCTTGCCACTGATCGCCTGCTGTCCGACGCAGGCAATCATCTGGGAGATGTTGATGTTGGATCCCTTGGAGCCGCTGAGCGCCATGATCAGGGCGCTATTCGTCGGATGCAGCTCGGCGAAGCAGGTCTTGGCCGCCTGCTCTCGAATGCCGGACAGTTCGCGCAGCATCACTGCCTCGAGGGTCTCTTCGGGCGTGCAGCCGGGCTGGCATTGGAGAGTGCCCGCCTTGAGCTTCTCGATGTACTCGTTGCACTTGGCATAGCCGCGCTCCAGCAGGACCTGCTTGTGCTGCAGCAGCCTGGCGCTGGGCGTCACATCGCTGATCCCAAAAGAGAATCCCCGATTCTGTATGAAGTACGACGCAATCTGAAAGGGTTCGTCATACGGTTATTTATAGTTGCATGGAATTTGGGCTTATTTTGTTTGTGGCCTCTGATTTCTCGGTACTGCTTCATATACTTATAACAAGGCCGTTAAGTGCCGTCACGGCTAGCACCAGAAACAATTCTGGCGAAAGTCGTCGCCAGATTGAGATAAACCCACCTCAAGGTGCTCGACGAGGGCGCGGCGGGGGCAGCGCAGAGGACAGGCAGCCGGGTGTTAAGCACGTAAATAATTCGCTGTTTGCCATTTAATTGGTTAAATTCGCTCGTACAGACAAGCGACTGGCAGGTGAGCTAATTAAATTACACTGCACAGCAAAGAAAACCTTTGCCCAACATAAATTTATTTATATTATTTAGTTTACTTTTTAGCTGTCTCTCTCTCACTCTCACTCTCTCTCTCTGTCTCTCTGACTCTCTTTAAAAGGCTTCAATACCTCTCTTATCTTATCGTTGGGTTTGGGTTGCATTTATATATTATAGAACAATATATAAAAATAGTGAATTTTTTGTTTAGTATTAACTGTTCTATGATATATTAAAATCATATAAGCAACGCATTACATCGCATTTTTTTCTATCAAAAATGTTTTGGAGCATCGACACTATATATTTCAATATTATACGAAGTTTTAACAGGTTTTCTATCATTGTTTATCGGAGAATTGAAAATTGTAAAAAATATTTATTTCTCAACGTTATACAAAGTTTTAAGCGGTTTTCAATCTTATTAAAATTTATCAAAGTATTAAATATTTTGGAGTATTTTATATATTTCAAAAATTAATTAATTATGACTTTTCAATCCGTATAATAAATAAACTTTTAGTTTATTAGTATAGCCAATAAATTGCTTGGCGTACCTCAATTATGTTGTCTAGTGTAGAATTGAGGTCTTTATTTTTTGAGCGTTATCAGTGATAAGAACTTGAACCAAGTTGGACAAAAGGAACTGATGAGGAGACGATCGGGCGAACAGTTAGCTAGGCATTTAAGCAGTAGCAGCGACGTCAAAGGCAACGTCGACAGCGACTGCGACTGCGACGCCAGCTGGGGCAGCGATAGAGACAGGTGAAGCAGCACTGGCGTGTGAGTAATTAATCTTATCGAGCTGCGCTGCGAACTGCGAGCTGGCCAAATAACAAGAACACGACCAGGCCGTGTTAATAAGAAATTGTACAAAAGACAGACAAGCCGAGCTGCGGAGGGGGTCGCAGCCGATTGGGGGCGGGGCAGTATCATAGGGGGCTGCATATGGGTCCGCATATAATTGCGAAAATCGACGCAAAGCGACGCAGACGTCGCCGAGCAACAAGCGACACCACAAAGAGAGACAGACAGACACAGAGATAGAGAGAGAGAGAGAGAGAGACACCAATGAGGTATTTCACAAGGATGCATAGTAGCTGGCCAGGATTGGGCACAGCTAGAGGCATTTGCTGGCTGCTGTTGCTCCAACTGGTGCTAGCAGCTCCGCCTGCCTCACAAGTGGATATTGTAAGTACCTAAAGCCGAAGCTCCCAGCGAATGTCCAACTGAGAATCCGCATTCGAATCTCTGAATCCACAGCAAGGACGCATTATTGGCGGCCAGCGTGCGGCAGCTGGGCAATTTCCATGGCAGGTGATATTGAAGCGCGATGAATGGGATGATTTGCTGTGCGGCGGCTCCATCATATCGAACAGCTGGGTCCTGACCGCGGGCCACTGTGCGTACGGCCGGAGCTCGCTCTATCTGATCTTTGGCAGCGTTGAGCTGAATCCGGAAGAAGCGATAAATATGACGGCCACGCAGCTGTTCGTGCATCCCAATTACAATGACAAGATGAACAACGATGTGGCGCTGGTGCAGCTGCCGCAGCAGCTGATCTTCTCGAGCACAATTCAGCCCATCCAGCTGGTGAGCAGCCAACAGGCCAACAACAACTATGTGGGCACGCAGGCGACCATCGCCGGCTTTGGCCTGATCGACGATGAGTACTTGGACTTTTCGCAGGAGCTGCTCTATGCCCAGGTGCAGGTGATCGCCAACGACAAGTGCCTCACGATCTTTGGCTCGAACGTGGTGCTGGCATCGACACTGTGCGCCGAGGGCTATGCGGGCAGCACGATGTCCACGTGCAGCGGCGACTCCGGCGGACCACTGATCGTGTATAGCAGCGATGCGAATGCCTGGATACAGATTGGCATCAATTCGTTTGTCGCCGAGGATCAGTGCACCAGCGGCTATCCATCGGGCTATGTGCGTCTCACCTCGTTCTTGGACTATATCGCCGAGACAACGGGACTGACACTCAGCTAAACTGATGCCGTGGCTAAGATAATAATCAATCAAAAGTCCACTTCCTTCTATTTCGCAAATAAAGCGCAAATATATAGCACTCGAATAAACCAAAAACAGATTTCCCCATGCCACGAATGCCACAGATAAGATAGGCCACACCGCTCCCGGCGCCCCGTACACCCCATTCCCTCACACATGATCTCTACCCCATCAGTATCTTCTCTATACCATCACATAGATAGCTCCACTGCACGGCTGGGCCTTTGGGCTGGTGCAAAAGGTTTAGGAGCAAGGGCGCTTATCTTCAAGTGCCTCATTGTTCTAGAACTGACATTAAAGCGGTTCAGTTCCACATGCCAATTATCGATTCGTTGTTTTAGTTTTAATTGATATCGTCTGATTGCCCTATTATGGGACTTATTTTATCTTACTATCGAATCAACAGGGCTAGCCTATGTTTGATATCATTATCGACTCCTAGCTTATTTCAAATATATATTTTTTGAAGACGTTAGAAAGACTTCTATTTTTATTGATATGGATTGGAGCATTCGAGAGAATTTGTCCAAAAAACTATAAAGTTGATATTCTACTTGGACAGCTCCATATTTGACTTTATTCCAGAGAACGAACTGACAGAGAGAGGGAAAGTCGACTAAATGGGCTAACATTGACGAAGTGAAGGAGATACTTAAACAGAGAGAGAAAGCGAGAACAAGAGAGAGAGAGAGAGAGAGGAAAAGGAGAGATAGAGCGAGAGAGAAACAGGAGAGAGAGAGAGAGGGAGCAATCTGCTGAGACAGAGGGAGAAGAAAGAGAGAGAGAGAGAGAGAGAGAGAGACGAACTGGCATGCAGAAAAGGAGAGATAGAGAGATGATATATATGTATATATAGAAGGAGTGAGAGTCACTTACACATAGAGAGAGAGAGAGAGAGAGAGAGAGAGTGTATGTAGCATACACATACACGAAAGAGACAGCTGGGCGAACAGTCACACCCATGGGGCACAAAGACAGAAAAAAAGACACGACGGCTTAGAGTGAAAGAGAGAGACAGAAAGAGCAAAATAAAGTTCGGTCCATATGCAGAGAAACATAAATACACACAGGCTCAGATACTTCCGGGGAGAAAGAGACAAATAAGTATATCTAAAACTTATACGCACCCTGGCTAGACGCCACATGGCTTTCGTGGCAAAAGCCTCGCCAAAATCTCGCAGCAGCAGATAGAAGATGCACTGCTTGGTGCCAGAGCCCATGGTGGCCTTGTCCATGGTGCCGCACATCAGTTCCGAGTTGCGAATGTGAATCCCTGCAGCCGAAAGAGACAGGTGGTTATTAAAAAGAGTGAGCAGACCAGTTATACATAAGCAGATGACGTACAGGAATCGTTGACACAGAGATCCATGTTGCCCGAGTAGTTGCGTCCCTTGTTCACCATGTTGAGCCGAACAATGGAGTCGTCATTGGGTCGCATTAGCAAACTAAACATTTGCTTGCCCGTCCAGAGGCGACGCGGCTTCCAAATGGCTGGCGGCGGCATCTGGATGCGCATGGTCGAGTCCTCATTGGCCAGAAAGCAAGCGGCCAGCTGCATCGCCTCTTCTTTGGTAAGAAAGACCTCCTTCTGGGTCAGCAGGTAGCCGCCCGTAATGAAATCCTGTGTGGCTGCAATCAGGATTTCACCATTCTTCGGCGTCACCAGATTCGATTGATTGCCCATCAGGATTAGGGCCTCGGCGCGTGCCTCTTCCGTCTGTGGCAAGTGCAAATTCATTTCATCGCCGTCGAAATCAGCATTATACGGCGTACAGGCGCATTCGTTAAAGCGGAACGTGCGCTGCGGCTGCACCTTGGCGCGATGACACATGATGGACATCTTGTGAAGCGAGGGCTGGCGATTGAATAGAACGATGTCATCGTCGCGCAAGTGCCGCTCCACAATGTCGCCGCACTTGAGCTCCTGGGCGACCTTTTCGCGATTGCCATAGGCCAAGTATTTCTTAAAGCTCGAGCCGCGCTGCTGCACGTAGTTGGCGCCCGGATGCATGGCGGGTCCATTGCGAACCAATTGCTTCATTTGCCGTATATTGGCGGGATTGACGCGCTCCGGGTAGGTGAGTATCTTGGCCACTCGCACTGGCACGCCCACCTGATTGATCATCAGATTGGGATCAGGTGAGATGACCGTGCGGCCACTGAAGTCCACACGTTTGCCGGACAAATTGCCGCGAAAGCGTCCTTGTTTGCCCTTCAGTCGCTGGACAATGCCACGCGTTGTCTTCTTGGGCGCCATATTCAACGGGATTCCACTAATCTCACTATGGAAATAGAGGGCCACATGCAGCTGCAGAAAGTCCCAATCCTCGTGTATTAGCTCTATTTTACCACCTGTGGCCATATGGCGCTGTATGACATCGTTGATCAAAAGAATTTCGCTCTGTTTCATGGTCAGATCGTCCTCCGTGGTGCCCGCCTTCACCTCCGACAGCACAGAGGGCCTGATGCAGGCCGGTGGCACAAAGACACGGGTGACAATCAAGTGCTTCGGATGCGCACCACGCGAGCACATGCCTAGCAAAGCGATGTCACTTTGCGGTATCTGCTCGAAGAGGTCGAGCACCATGAGCGGCGTTAGCTCCTCTGCGGCGCTGTAGTTGCTTAGAGTTAAATTCAAATCCCGATTCAACTCAGTGGAGCGTAGCATCTCTTCCATGTGACTGGTAAAAGTTGCATCCTTTTTGCGACCTTTGTATGGATCGTGGAGAATCTTGAGTAGTCCGGGCCCCTTCTTGACACCTCCATTGGCTGCATTGCAATGCGGACATTTGGTCACCTTCTTGGCCTTGGCGAGCATCTGCGAGTGCAGAGCCTTCTTGCCCAGATATGAGAAATTGGGGTTGTGTAGCTTCTTCTCGAATACCGCACGATCCTCCGGCTTCAGCATAACACGTGCGCATGTCTTGCATATCATTTGTAGAATATTTATTGTCGATCGGAAGTGTCCGATGTGAAAAACAGGCAAGGCAAGATCCAAATAACCAAAATGTCCAATGCATTCGTTTAAGCCCTGGCCACAAGTTTCACAGACGGCATCCTTGGTGCTGATGCCCATCCGACGATCGAGTACTCCATATGGCACCGGTTGCCGTTGTGCCTGGTACAAGTTCTTTGAAATAATGCGGACTAACGATTCCTGTTGAATTTCATCGGCGCCACTGATGCCGAATTGCACATGTGAGCTGCACAAATTACAAATCAATTAATTATCTGTCGCTGCCAGCCATAGCAAACTTACATTTTCTTGTTTAGCGCCGAAGCGCGAAACTGCTCTTTAGGCATGTCGTCAATTTAATGGAACCACGGCCAAAAGTCACAAATATTAAATTTTTTTAAAACCATATGACAACACGCTGCCGGTCACAGTTCTGCAACTATCGATATGCTGAACAATCGATACTTTACTCAAAATGGCATTTCTAATTGGAAGCACTAACCACCATAAACGTTTGTCCAATTAAATGGCAATCCAATTCATAATGTATTCACATATTTTTAAAAATAATTATTGGCTCCATACGAATACAGTGCAATATTTTTACCTTAAAATATATTTTTTTCTGTCAACATAAGCACGGCCACACTTTGCATTAGCATCGCGGCCCTAATATAAAGATTGGATCAAAAACACCAAATTATCTGCAAAGCATCTTTAACAGCTGTTACTTTTAATTTTGCTCCAATTAAATATTGATCGTATAAAAGTAAAAACTGTTCTGAAAAATTAAACATATATGTACATATTTATTAAAAACTCGTTGCGAAACGGCTATCGATATATACTTATTTAAATTTTGAATTTTAGTGTTTCATAATCGTTAATCGATCTCAAATGACTTAAGTCTATTTTGATTACTTTTCTAACATTTTATGACACCTTAGTGCAGCTTTAAGCAGACTGACATTTAGTTACATTCTAGCAATAAAATTAGATTGCTTTGAGAAAAAAATCTATTATGTTTAATCATAAATAATATATTTTGTAGAGGCCTAACCAAATCACTTGTACCGGATTTACACTATACATTCCAAGCAATCAATAACCATCATAAACCAACTCAATTCAACACAATTCCAATGAAATTTCGCAATATTATAAAAGAAAAAATTTGCTCTAGAATATACACATTCGATGCTTGGCCCAATCGTTACACATCGCGATACGCGATGTCTTCGCACCAACGTCTTTGAATTGATCTATCGATATTATGTTACTTTCTGTACATCACTATTAGTGCACAGCAGTTTGTCGTCGTACCTCCGTGGAAAATCAGTTGCAAATCGCATTATTCATTCGAATATAAAAGCCAACGTTCTATGCCATTATTGTGTTGAAGATCCTTATAAGATTGCGTTATAAACAAAAAGGTAAAATTATATATACGAAGTGGCAGACACAACCTCAAAAAAAGGTTAAATGGCGTGGCTGCTTTCATTGTGACTGTGCATGTGCATGATAGTGTGTGTATTTATAAATATATGTGTGTGTATGCACTAAAAATTAAAATTACGTGCATTGTTGGCGATAATATGTCTTAGCAACATACTAACTATTAACGGGGCTGGGTTGTTGGCAGACAAAAAGATAAAAGTAAAATTATAATTTCGCAAATGATCGCAACGTACATGAAATATTTGTTTGTATGCGTGATTTTGCAAGCCAATAGTAGTACTACAATATTTAGCAGAGGAATATCCCAAAGGTTTTTTTTCCTTATATGTGTAGTGTACTGCGCACGTTTCGTTTCATTTCGCTGTTCGCAACGCAACAACAACAACAAATGATCGCGACACACGCACATAGACATTCACGCACACGCAGCCACACTGTTAAACAACATTGAGTTAACAGCTGGTGGGGAGGAGTGGAGACTGTCTCCCTCTGTTGGGCAGCATGCGCAATCAACATTTAGCATATTGTTCAAACGTTTTTCAATATTCAATGCGAAAATGTTTGCGATTGTAAACAAATGTGCAACACATATGTACATGTGTATTTATATGTCTTTCATTTCATTTCATTACAGACTTTTTGCAGCAGCTGCGCAAGCACACAACAACAACAACTGACCAAAAAGCAATTCGCGTGGTTTAGCGCTGCCAGCGGCCATCGCAAAAAAAAAATCGCAAAGCAATTTTTTTTACAGTTGCGCAAAAGTTCTCACGTGGCAAAAAGAAGAGCGTAAAGCAACAACAACAAGAGTTGTACTAATCAGTTACGGTTAACCAGCATATAAATACCTTCATCTATATATATATTTATATATACATATAT